ACCCGCGTCGCATCGATCACATCGCGCTTCGAGCGTTATCATTCCCTCCTTTCTGATAGCTGCGCGCTACCAGTACATTGAAAACTGATAGAAATGACTCGTGATTTTCAAAATCAATTCTGTAAAATCTTCGTTCCTGGTTGTTCAATTTTGATTATGATCACTTCGAAGGTGATCAAGCATTATCATTCCCCATTTCTTGATAGTTCTATACGACGAACATAAGAAAAACTGACCGAAAAGGCTAGTGTTTTTAAACGTTTAGATCATTTTTCACGTATCGAAAACCCTAACTTTCAACATAACAAAGTTGCCAAGAAACAATTTCTTACAAGAAATAACTGATTCCTTTCTCACAGAAACATACAATACATTAAATGAATTTCCATGCGTAGGTTTGGACTTGTATTGAAACGTTCCAGGAAGCAGTTTATTGAGAATCGATGATACTCTGTGACAACGTAGTATTTTCCAGGTAAAGTCGTTGAGCAATTGTCACGCAAGTCCGCGAATAAACATTTTCGATGGTATTTTTCGAGAAGAAGTATTCAGAGAGTTTTGTCGAGCGAGCCGGCGACTGATTGTTACCTCAGGTAACGAGAATGTTACATAGAAGCGTATACATGTTGACGCAAGCGTAAAACTATTATATGTAAAGTTATACATATGTACATGTCCGACATACGAGATTCCTGATTTTGTAAAACCAGCGACACGTGTTACATAGAACAACAATAAAGGTGATCTGTGACGTTTTATAAAAGGGAACTCGTTCTCCGAGATACGTGATCTTTATTTCCCTCACTTTCCGCTCCATTTTCGTTTTGCCTTCCACGCCGCAAGGAACAAACGTATATATGTCTCAATAAAATCCTCTTCTTTTTATGAGTATTAAATCAGAAAATTATATGGCGTATATTCGTCTTTTGGTTGAGATTGTGGTATTTAGTTTTATTTCTCTTGTTTATTTGTGTTTATATGTATCGTACTTGAGCAAATATAAAATTGAATAGTAGGGAATGTTTTGTAATTGATGGTACGCTTTTCTTTATTTAAACTATTGATATTCACTAGTAATAGATGAAGATAATATTGTATAATAATATAATTAATATTCAAATCGATTCCATTCAGTACCTACTTTGTTTCACCTTAAATATGTAAATATAATTAATGGAGAATTATTATTCTAAACTGTGCCCCGCACTAACGTAACAATTTAATATCAATGAAAATAATTTTTAATTCCACGTGAACACATTTTTTGTACCAAAAGAATAAAACTTTTGCATCAAATGCTTTCTTTCTCAGAAAATCAATTTTTCATATTTATGAAATAGATTACGACTTGGCTTACGTGTTTGACCATCGCTCGCTGTTTCTACTTGCGGTGGTGTGTGTAAACAGTAATGAAGGTAAATTATCTGTCTGCTGTCGGTTCTACTATCTTCTACCTAGAACCAGTTAAGACAAATAATATCATGCCACCGTTAGTGTTTACAGACACCAACGCAAGTAGAAATAACGAATGATAGTCAGACACGTTAGTCAGATCGATCTGTGTCGTAAAGATGCCAGAAAAATTGCGTCATTCGACGCGCTATCAGTCTACGATAAAAATACGTAAACAGATCCTTCATTCCTTGAGTAGCTTGGATAAATAAAATAGTCGCTGTTCGACTAAGAAATGAAAAGCAAACGTTCTAATATTTGACGACAATTACCAAGAAAATTGTCTTCTGTTTATTAAGTTTCATTTGCGCTTTGTGTATTCTTCCACTTGTTTCAATCACCTTGGCTGCGATTCTGACACTTTTTGTTCTTCTCTCATACTACAGTCTGATTGTAAATTGATATGTTTTTAATAACGATACAGTGCTTCGTTATTATTTATATTATTCTTAAATTGTTAAATTAGGTGCTTTGACTTTTTTTGTTCCTCCTATATTTTTGGCAGTAGTTTTTCCCGCATTCAATTACCTAGCGCTTCCGGCGTGGGCGATACTTCAAAGTAAAAATAAATATTTGGACCGCGCAATTGTGTCGTTGTTTAAACATAATTCCCGCTCGTTCATGGTGCGTGCGTGAAGTAAATCCAGAAACGAATTGCTCTACCACTGGCAGTTGTTTGTTCTTTCGAAACTGTATTTGATTTGCTGAATTCTACTAAAATCAATTGTTTAACCTTTGGCATGCTTTAATTGATATAATTCAAGAGGAATTATTCTTACGGTTGAGATATGGAAAATTTGTTCTCTTTAGAAAACCAGTGACGATGTTAGTATAAAGGATGGCAGTATTCTCAGAGATATACGATTCGTTCCGTCGAATTTTTCTTTCTTAGACCCTTCGAAAATTTCCAATGGAAGCATTTTATCTATATGTACGCTGTGAATTTTCCACAGAACGATTGCATATTCTATAGACTAGCATATAGCCTTTCATGCTCCTCATTGTTAGGACGAATCCCAAGAGTACTATGAAATGTATGCCAACTGTGAGAGTTTCGTTCCCGATGCAATTCCAGGAGGAGTAGGATGATCGTTGCTCAAACAGTGTTTCCGACACTTGCAAAATTTTCTATCGACCGCTGGAAAATTTCATCAACGCAATAGTGACCTCTCAAAGATTGCCAGTTACATATCATGTTTGTGTCAATAAATAAATTAATGGTTAAATAAACAAATAAACGAAGAAATCGATGAATTACTGATTGAATGAATGAACAAATAAATGCATAAACAAATGGACGAATACATCAAGAAAATACAAGTTCAACTTAACCAGTTCTTGTGAATCCTGATCAAGTATAACTGTCAAATGGAATCGATCAAATACCGAACACTTTCGGTTCACCAGATTGAATCTGTCTCCTCCGATTCCAATTCGTGTCGCGAGAAAAATGAAATCCCCTGATCGAATTTCAAACAAGTCTCTCTACCCCTAATCGCGTCTCGAATTCGCCTCTCGTGGATAGCAATCCCGTTTGAAATTACCTACTAGTCGCGGTCTCGGGCGTTACACCGGCAATGTATTCCCGCCCCCGTTTCGATAATCGTTCTCCTTTCATTCAACGTGCCGCCATTGATCCATCCCTTTCTAACGGGTTTCGTTCACCCTCGATCAACAGCCGACCGACCCTTTTTCAACACCAGATCCAACCTAATCGCGGGGGTTTGCGTCACTGCCCGGCCGTTTACTTATTTGCAAGGGTGCGGCAGGCTCACCTCGTATATCCCATCTGGCCATTCAAGTTTCTGGGCGCGGCGGTGGAGTCTTCAATGAACCCCCATCACTCCGTGCCAGAAATGTAAATCCATAAATTATGAGCCGACCGTGAACTAGGAGGCAGCCGCCTAAATTTGGATCGTTCGACGATTGGTAGACGTAGATACTATCGATCCTTCCATTCACCTCTGCTCTCGATCGTGACAACTAATAGCAGATGTTAGAGAGCCTTGGAGATCCAGGAAAAAAACGCATTGGATACTTTCATTTGAAAAGTCTCAAGTGTGAAAATCATTTAGGAAACATTTTATTATTTATCGTTATAAACATTAAACATTTTAGTTTTACTGTTTGAAAGTGGAATAAATTCATAAAGTTTTCCACGTCGCGAAAATATCTTTCGATGCAATCAAAAGTCGACAGCGCGGTGGATCGATTCGCGGCTCGTTTTTCCGCATTACAAATGGCTTCCTGAACGGATGTGCAGTAGAATACTGGCCTATTTTGTTCTGTCGACTTCCTCTTTAACCACACCGAGCCTCCGAACTCGGCACGCTGAGTATATTCCAAATGGAAAAGCTTTCGCACTAACTCGAATCCCCGATTCTACAAGATTTACGTTAAACTAATTGCTACAGTCCCAACCAAAATCAATCTCCACAAAATAAAATAATTTTATCTACTGATAAAAATAACAAATATTAACCTTAATATTAAACATAATTATTGTTATTTCTGTTAAAATGGACTGGTTAAACAATGCAAATTTACCAATGTTCCATTTATGACAATGGATTTTAATGCAAATGAGTTTCGACGTTGAACAAGAATTATCTCATTTAGTATAATAAATAGACGGTAATGAAGTTGCATTAAGTATCGGAGGGTATATTAGCAGTACCGAAGAACAACGGGGGTTTGTTTTCGTGGGAAATCGGTAATAAATTAACGGCTCGGAACAATAATTCAGGTTAACTTATAATAAAGTCTTCCAGCTTCAAATAACGCGATACCTACAGGCCATTTGGATAATTAAATTTACCTACTTTGTTTCAAATGTATTGCTACAGTCCTTGTCAGAATTGAATGAAAAGAGCCGATGAAAGGATTCGTTGATCGATCGGGAACACGGATGAATGGAATAATATTCATACAAAAAAAAAAACGCTGCCTAAAATTTCTCTCCTTTTCGATGGAACCAGAACATCAATTTGGCAAAAACAATGAAATCCGATTAAAATAATTTCTGTAATTTTCCTGATTTGAATGAAGTTAGTTTCGAATGAAATTATAGTAGAGACAACCCTAAGTAATTTCAAGTGAACCCTCAGTTATGATAACATTTGTCGAATTTTTATATTGAAAAGATATTGTGAAATAGCCATAAGAATAAAAAAGAGTTGGTCTGTTTTGAAACAAGACTCGTCCAATAACGTAACGAGGAATCGTTTAAACGCCGCTGAGCTTATTAAAACTTCACAAGCGAATGCTTGTTCTCTGAACGTTTTTCCACCTTGTCCTCGAAGCAATATTTCATTCCCGTACTTTTTACATTACTTTCTGTTTATAGGACTCCATCACGGCGGTGGAAAAGTACAGAGGAAACGCTTCGAGGTACACTTCTTCTATGGCGAATAATTTTTATAACTTGTTCAACTGCAACTGATTGACACTTTCCAAGTACATTCATTTTATATTTTTTTTTCCGCCGTACGATAGAGTGGGAACGTTCGGGCTTTATAACTGCTCTTCAATTTGAAGGGGTCGAGTGCCTCGCGCGTGGGTTCATCGAGTCGTTGAAAATTTTTACAACTTTATAGCGAAAATCTCCGACGTCTTTCGCGATTGATAGAATTTGTTCAGGTGTCGATTGTTATTTGTTTTCGTATTCTGCATTTGTATTGCAACTGAACGAATGAAACTCTCGACACATTATTTTAAAACATGGTTTGTTGATGTTATACTTATTTTATTGTACTTGCATGGTATCTATGATACTTTTATTATATAAAATTTTAACATATGTAGTCATTATAATATTGACTATACATAGAATCCTCTGGAAAGCTACAAAGAATCTTTCTGTGTATCAAAATCAAACAACGTTCGTGAATATATTATACTCATCTATTTTAGATCCTCGCAGCACAGCTCTGAAATGGAGTAGCTTCCTCCACTCGTCGCTGCTCCATTCATTTTTGCCTCTAACTGGTCTGTGTTTCAAATTTCTTTCGGTTTTCCTAGAATCTTTCAATAAAGAAGTCGACGATGCTAGAGTCTGAATGGGAACGGTTCGCTGAGTTACCGACCAAAGATGAACAACGTTCAAGGCAGCTGCGAAACATCATCACAAAGAGTTTTAAAGCAAGCTTTCCAAGAACCAAGAAAACAGTAGCATTCCTTTTTGGCGACGGAGGCAAAAGCTAACCGCGTGCCTTTGTCCGTGAAGGCTAGAAGAATTGTCCCTTTCATTCGTGGCAAAGGGAACTAGGCAGGGAAAAGAAAGCCAGAGTCTACGCGACAGATGATTCTGGATTATATTCTTATCGTCACTTTCTTTGAGGCAGTGGTTTCTCTTGACAGTAGATGGAAATATGGTCGACACGTTGAAAAGTATTAGGTTTCATGTTAGAAAATTATAAATAAAGTGGACATATACAAAAATTAATAGATAAATAAAATACATGGAAGTAATATACGTGAAAGTAATATTCCTTTCTCAACCATACGACGATTTCAAAACAGTTCATACTTTACATTCTTCACGTACTTTCTGTTCTTCGAAACCTAGTTTTATTTAAAGTATGAAACGTAATGTACTCTCTAGAAATCGGCCAATAATTTTGATGCTCCAACGAAAATTCGAGTCACGTCTGTCCCAACTGGTCATGTAAGAATATTTCTCCATTTTCCTTTATTCTCCAGAAACTCGTAGAATGTACCACGATAACCTGTAAATTAAGAAATACATATGTGATATGTTGGGTAAAGTTTTAAATAATATACATATGTTTACCAAACGTATTTAATTAAAGTGTCTCTAAAGGTTGCACACTTTACTTTTAAGAATGTTACTGTACAGTCACAAATACTAGTTTTATTTACATTATTCGCTGCAGAACCATGTCTCTGTCACAGTTACGATAGTTCTCAACGGGGTCCTGAAAGTTTCCTCGATTTACTTCCGTAATTGAGTTATTTCCAATCTGAAATTAAATCTCTTTGGAACTAAGGCTGGCAAGGGAAGCTTCCAACAATACGAACGCTAAAAAATTTCAATTTATCTTATTAAAGATAATTTATTAAAGATCTTTCGATTTCGCTGGGTCATAGGTATTACAGTAAACTGCCGATGCTCAATCAATCGAAGATTGGTTGCGATTAATAAAGTAAACGTAGTTTCGTTTTTCAGTGTTTTGTTTCACGTTCACTTCTTCGTTGCTTCACAGAATGTAGAGAAATCGGAATATCACTTTCTAGTTCTGTCATAAGTTCAAAAGTTATGTATAATTTCAGTATTTACGACTGTCATTATCAATATTCACTTTCTATTTTTTCAATTGCATAAACGAAGACCAGTAACATCACAACACACAAAATATTCTCCTACCTAACAATTCCCTGTTTGAACATGTCTCCCGATTAATTCGAATTGTCAAGGTTCTATTGTATTTAAACTTTGAATTTTCCGACGCGTCTAGGTGAAAATGCAAATAGAGATCGCGATGCGACGGGAGGGGTGTTGATATCGCCTCTTCGGATTTAAAAGCGGGTCGTTTCGTGACACAAAAAGGGTGACGAAAGTAGGGTTCCGAGACTCATATCGGCCGACTGCTTTATAGTTTACTGCCACGATGGGAATAACTTTGACCTGGATCGCTTGCATTGGCCGCGCATAACTGCTGACCGCTATCACTTTCCATCGTAAATGCCTCGGTACGCGCTGTCTGCGACATGCACCCGAACCGTGAATGCGCTTACGAGCCCCACGATGTACATCAAAACATCACGTTACCCGTGGAACGTATGAGCACGCAATCCGCGACGAATGTGTAATTGCCTCGCAATCTTTCCACGAACTTGATCAAATGCACCTGGTCACGACGTCCGCGGATTTATTCCCCGACTCGTCGTCGCTTATTTTCGGAATTACTTTCTCCGCCAGCCGAGATTATTTTCGGAAGTAATGCCTCGAACCAACAAGCTTTTTTCATCACCGTCGTTAGTCGCGAAGTTGGCGTGAATTGGGTTATTAATTATGTTTAGCGGACGGGAAAAGTGGATCGACAGGAACAAACCTAAATAACTTTCTTAAAAAATAATGTGTTCGGTTAGAAAGAAGAAAAAATAGATGAAAATTCATGTACTAGAAGAGCAATAAGAATCTACAATAGTAAAAATGCGAGGTACAACTTTATACCATTATTAAACAAAATGAAAAGTCTAATTTATGTAAATTTCATAACAAAGAATGTAAACAATTATGTCGTTACCATTTTAGTGTATCTTTGAAACAAAGTTATTTACAAGTTCTGATTTATGTGAACCCCCCTGTATAGCTGTTCAATAAACTCCTATCAAGAATTGGAAATAAATTTTACGGATCGTTAATTTATCATTTCAATTATCATAGAAACACTTTCGCGCTAATTATGGAGTACTTCGTATCGGTAAATGTTCTCCAGGAGTCGATAATTTTCGAACTCCAAATAATTTTACTGATAAACTACGCTAAGAATCATAAAGTCGAGGGGTCTGAGAGTTTGTAAGTTCAGCACTGCAATTAACTTCCATCGCACGGGAAAAATTTTATGAAACTTTTTCAGGATATACACGATCGTGCCATAACCTAGTGGCGCGGTAGATGAGTGTGTTCATGGGTGATATAAATTTGTTGTTACGAGTAGACTATTCTGCAAACTGGTTAACTATGTAGTTAGGCCACTTGAAGTGCATATGCTTGGAACCTTCAGGATATACTATTTTTATATTAATTCACGATGAGCTTTGTTGGAAGAGCTTAATTAAAGTTATAAGTCATGAGGAAATTAAAAGAATTTACAAAATTGATGACTAGCCGAAAGTGTAGTACAATTAATGTAGTCGTAAAAAATGTGTAATTTATGTGGAAATAATCCTCAATAAAAAATTGTTGAATAAACATAAAAATTGACTGGTTTACTTGAAATGTCTTATGGCAAACTTCATGTATTACTGCATGAGTAATTGTACACTCGTGTCGCACATAACTTGCATTCGTGTTACACACGAGCCACATTGACTACAAACACGTGACAGGAATGGGAACGCGACGCAAATATAATGCGTATTGAATTTGCAATCAGAAGCATAGTTAGCTTAGAACCGTATAAGGAAATAGTTTCGTTCATCTGCATAATTACAGTATAATTTGATTGCAAGCTACACAGCAATCTAATTCGAATCTAATATAATACGTTGCTGATGCATGCAAATAGACGTTTATTCTCGAACCGATGAGCTGTTAAATATATATCGTAATAAAATTATTCTCTATGTTAATAGAACGTGAGTATGTTACACAGCCTTATAGCCCCAATATAAAGCCACAAAGTTTCGTTAATAAACTACATTGGTCTTAACGTACCATAAATTCGGATCGATTCTCTTCAGACTTCTTATTAATATAGATAATGGAGGGTGTTGTGCTTCTACTTCGTGGAACGATCGCGTCTGCCGCCCACTTGAAATTTCCAGCGATCACGTAATTGCGTCGAAAAAAAATAAAAATAGAACGGAAACGTCCTCCGGATAAAGAGACGGAGACGGAGACGGCTCCGATACGATGCGAGATTCAAAGAGGCCTCGGCGGTGCCCCGTCGATGGCAGAAATCTTTCTTTCGCTTTGATCTTGCTGACAAGGTTCCGAAGGCGGGCACAAATACGCGAGTTTCGCGAGGCCTTCGGAGTATATCGATTTCAGATTTTCTGCTGTCGCGCAGTTACGACTGATGCTCCACTTTTTAAGGGAGGGCTACCCGCGGCACCCCCGTCAATCGAGTGTGCATGAATTATCGATCTCGGCGAAAGCGGAAGCGCGAAAAAGGAAGAAGCGCCGTCGACGCTCCAGTTTTCGCGAGCCCGCGAAATATTGGGCTGATCGGCCGTGCGAATCGTCGCTGAAGCATTCTCGTCACGCTCGCGCCGAGGACCGCTTCATTTCTCCAGCTGATCCAGCCATTGCCTACGCAACCTTGAGAAATCATTAATTGCCTCTAACGGCACTATAAAGTTATATCACGACCAAGTCGATTGGTCCAACGAATATACAAATACACATCATCTACCTGAATTCGTAAGTTCACACAAAACTCTCTACAGAAAATTGTATCGAGTCTAGAATCCTGTCTTACGTTCTCCGAAACGCAAAATGCTGTTCGAGAGGCAGTGGCACAGTTGGCGAACCAGTGACCGAAATATATTCCGTTGGGCAATTTTTCCGTATTTTTCCGCAACGCTTGCCCACCGTTTCACGTATGATCTGCAGCTTCGCAGCATGGAACCATTCACCTAAGTCGTTGGAACTCACGCCTAACCCATTATTGTCGTGTTGCAAACTCTTGCGCCCAATTGTAGAAACCAGAGGCCGGGTCAGATCCGACCGAAACAATGGAGGAATTTAAAAATCCTGCAATCGTCGAGGCATGTCCGCAGCCTCGGAGCCAATTCGGCTGAAAAGTCCATCGATCTCGTTGAACAGGACGCCAATAACGACACTCTCGGGCGAAAAGCGATCAATCGTAATTCTCTGGTGGCGTGTTACGACGTCCACGGACACGTGCCAAACACGTCTGTCCTAATTATTTCCCGTGGCATACGACCCTTAAATCTTTCCAGGACGAAGCCGTAGGCACGAGGTGTATCCTGACCGGCGACCGAAGACTAATGCAGCAGAAATCCCAGTCGTCGTTGCAAGATTCAGTGGCACGCGCGGCCGGGCGTGATGCCAAACCAATTCAACTGCGATAATATTTGCATAAACTGGTTTCATCGTATCTGCCGCATAAATCACGCCCTGACACGCAGTAGAAACGCTCTGTCCTCTTGCATCACGACTTTGAAAAGGTAGGAATCGACTAGGCCTCGGGGCATTCGCGAAGAGCAGTAGCAAACGATTCCAGAGATTGGAGAACCCGCGGTCTTTTCAGGTATTCCATGTAGGTGTTTAGTATAGTTTGTCAATTGTATAGGCTAGCGGATCTCATTGTCATAGTAGACATGCATATGTATCTTTATATATACATATAGATAAATAAGTAGTTGACAGAAATTTGTGAAAGTAACGAGGGGGAATATTTTTTTTTAACAAAACTTTAAGAGATACCCCAAAAGAAAGTTTTACATGGTGTCAATGAATCGATGCATTTGAGAAGGAAGTCTCATCACGAGATAATGGAGATAATTAAATTCTACTTTCCAACCACAATTTGTTCCTTTAACTAGAATTACTCTATATTTTCCATGACAATTATATTTCTATTTCTTATTGTATCCATGAATACACAGATCAAACTTTAATTAAATGTGAATTATCTTGTAGTTTCAGACTACCAGGTACACGTCGTGAATCGTTAATTACATTTGTGCGATGCAAACTATGTAGTTGGAACGACGAATGTTCGGGCAAAGAGGATAATAGCTCAAATAAACAAAGGTGTCTGTCATTCCATGTACTCTCTGTCCAACGGTAGGTGTTGAGTCCTTTCATTTGAATGTACAATGGTTAACCTTGTAATCCCACATTATTCGCTAGTCACTGCTGAAACTAAATTCCTAGTGTGCGAGAGGTCGCCTAATGGCTGTTATCGTTACGGTCACGGCGTCTTTGCGAAGCATTTGTTGTAACACACATCCTGAATTATAGACGCTCATCAATCGTAGCATCATGATTGAATGTACTCTGCATATCAAAGGTAACACGACAATTACTTTAAAAATATTGTTTATTATATGTAGTTTATATTGACGTATATCATTTTCTCAGAATTAATTCCCAAAGAAAGAATACTTTTAAACAATCTCACTGCCTCAATCCCGTTAATTCAACTACGTTTATCGAACTAAAAATAAATCAAGACGTGTCAAGAATTTGTTCTATTCAACAATTTTCTGTAAAAGAATTAGGTATACGAGCAGGTTGAAAGCACCGAGTAGTCGCAAGCGTGACAAATTCTCGCGAATTTTTTGCGCGATGCGCCAACGTGTTTTTTCTTCGTCGACGATCGTATCGTATCGACGGTTTTATCGCCCTGGGGAAACAATGCGGCCAGGTTGGAGCTCTCGATGGAAATCTAGTCCGTCGCTTGGACACACGTCGCACGCGTATGCTCGACCGTTCGTCGTCGTGCTCGACCATGACGCGGATTTTTCAGCAGTGAAACTTCGTACGCGCGCCCGTTTAACGTCAGTTACCGTGCGATTTATGGAGCGTAACGACGCCGTAAAATCATTAACAGCTGGCGTTTTTTCGCCCGTGCGAGGGAGGACCTTTCATTGGAACTGTAGTTGGCTGCATGCATTCGTACACCGCCACACCGTTTACTCGTTTTCCTTATTTAAGGCGTAAAGCGGTCGCGCTGAGCAGAAGCGTTGCCACAGCTTAGTTTCTGGCATGAAAATGTTCGTAACTATTGGATTAAATGAATTTCTCGGTTCTCGTTTTGCAGAAA